ATGGGAAGAGAATACAACACCTCAGCACCAGCCAACTGGCAACTAGCACTCCCAGCCCGACCAAGCACCAGCCCATACCTCGTCCAACCCTGCAGTCTACCAGCCCTTCCGGGTAACTCTCAGTTACATCCTGGACATGACGTGCTGTGGTATGGAATACCACTAGTACCACTGTACCACTAGGCTAGTTTGGGTCAAGTGTCCTGTCTCTGCTTCCTCCCGGCTTCCCCCTCTTCCCTGGCAGAGCATGAGGCTCAGAAAAGTCCTTGGCTAGACCAAACATTTGAGCATTATCAGCTCTGTTCCCAGGCAGAAAGTAAAAAACACAGCGCTGCACCAGCTAAAGAGAAGGAGAAAAATGACTGCTACTGCTGAACCCAGGACAGTACTCCTTCTTTCATACTTCTGGAATGCTAGGTATTCTTTTACTAATGGAAAAAAAAAATATATATAAATCTCATGAGCAAATGTGGAAGTAAAAGAGTTTATGTAAATAAACTAGATGGTCTAGTTATGCCATTGTGCAATATGTTAGAAATGAAAGTAAAATGAGTGTGAATGTGGGAAAAGATGTTACACAACTCTACCACAGTTTTGCAACATGATGATGTGTGCTCAAATTAGAAAAAGCAGTAGAAGATGTTTGAGTATACATGTGTAATTCTGAAAGGTTGTTCTTGTTTGCACAACTGGTTCGTCAGTGAGTTATAAAATAGAAAAAGGTACAGTCAGTTACATGTACATTGGGATACTTTTGGATTACAAAATCCATCTCAAAGGACAGATTAGTTTTTATTCTAGCTTTGTTCTGATGGAATTATAATGTTTGAGTTTGGGCTGGATACTTTTCGCTCCCTGCATACTTGATGCTTCTGGTTCTGAATAGGCTTTAATTTAACCATTATTAAGAAAGCCAGATAATAGACAAAAGCAGTGCTAGGAGGGAATGGATAATGTATTTACCATTGAGCTTTATACTCCCATTCACTCCTCAAATAATCTGAAATATTTAACATTCAAAGTACAGGACCACAGCCACTGCAAAAGAATGCCTGGGAGGAGAACCAGCCTTTAATCTGTGCAAATTTGTCACCTTGTTACATCCTAAATACACAACTGTCAAAAGAGCCTGCATAACTTCAGGAGCACATGGCAGGAGGGGTCATGTCAGTGACTATACTGAGACCTAGAGGAGATGGGCCAGGAGGACAACACTAAGTCCTGGGCTGTGTCAGCATCTGGATTGTCGGGTGGTCACTGGGTGCCCATTTCCCAGAAACCGGGAACGTCAACAAGCAAGGTCATCCAACTCACAACCCTCTCCTCCCCCCCCAGGAAAACCCACCAAAACCAAACCAAACCAACAAACAAAAAGAAAGTCATGGAGATATTTAGTAGAAAGGAGTCTGCTGAGAATAGGAGATATGCTTTGTCAAATCACACAGCTCAATCTGAGTCAGAGATGAGAACCCAGGTTCCACAGAGGCTCCTGCTTTTTGGATGCTCTACCCTGAAAGCTATGTCAGGGTATTCCTTTACAGCTGCTGTGTTTTAAACACATGATTAAATGTGTTTTAATTCATTGGCCCTGAGAGAGGAAAAAAACAGAAGGTAACTATATATTGAATAGATTGGATATAAGGAGGAAATTCTTTCCTGTTAGGCTGGTGAGGCACTGGAATAGGTTGCCCAGGGAGGTTGTGAATGCTCCATCCCTGGCAGTGTTCAAGGCCAGGTTGGATGAGGCCTTGGGTGAGATGGTTTAGAGCGAGGTGTCCCTGCCCATGGCAGGGGGGTTCGAACTTGATGATCTTAAGGTCCTTTCCAGCCCTAACTATTCTATGGTTCTACGATTCTATATTCAGACTGTTGTGGCAGTAAAAGGTGTGTCAGCGTTAACATTGCAGGTTCTTGGTCCAAAGAACATTTAATTATTTTATATATAGGAGGACTCAGATTGGACATTTACAGAGGCCTTTATCTTAAAATTTCACATAGTCTCTAACAAAATTTTCTTACAGATTATGAGGAGTCCTCAAAAGGTGAGGAGCTAGAAAATTAGTCTCCAAAGCCTGCTGGAGGTTACCAAGCTGGGATTACTGGGCAAAATAAGGATGCTTTTAATTTCTCCTCCTGACTATTTCTAGATTTCTTTTCCTTCCCCAGATGCTCAGGGCCTTGTTCAGTCAAGTTTTGAAATGGAGATTCCACAATCTCTAGGCAACCTGTGCCAGTGTCTATCCACTCTTTTTATACCATTAAAAAGAAGCTGAAAATCAAGTCAATATTTAATGTTTGTAACTATGGCAATAATTATTTATAAGAGTTTATTTCATCTAAAATTTTCTGAAAACCTAAGATGAAACTTAGTTTGATACTACTGGGATAAGATGATAGAAGTAATCCAGCATTCAAATGGAAGTTAAACAGATTGTGCTTGGTATTCACTGCATTATCTGGTTTCATAGAATTACTAAGTCTTCAATTAATTAATTATTTAATTAATTTCTGCTACTATTTCATGTTACATTAATAGTTTTAACAGTAATTTCTAGGTTTTGAGAGTTTGACTTGCAATATTAGTATTCCTTTAGCATAGCAGGTCTTTCCCTGCCCCATACGTTATCAGGATTATTATAAAAAAAGGATTCCAGCTCTGCTTTGTCTTTACAAAGTGGTTTGACTTCCAAAAGCACTTTATTTACTATTAGCATTGACTTCTGAGACTTATTTATATATATATAAAGGATCAGGGATTGCAACTTAAGTACTTTTTGAAAATCAGGCCATAGACAACATCAGTGGTTCTGCTTTGTAATGACTGCAACTGGCACAGTAAAGGAGTGGAAAGGTTTGTAAAATCATAGCAACAGATCCCATCAGTAAAATACAAGATTCTTTTCCTGTTTGTGGAGGTTCAAGATAGGATATAAGCACTTAGAGAACGTCACTGAAAGATAGCACTTCTGATCAAATTGATTTTTGACTTAGCCAGCAGTGAGCTGATTAGCTTTCACAGATCCTCCCTTTGCCTGGTGGGATGGTCTTTCAGTGGTTTACTACAAAATCAGGCTGCACAGAGATTTCCCTCTGCCCCTAGCAATCTGAAGTGCAGAGAAAACAGGAAGCAAACCACTGACTTTTCAACAAAATTCTGTGACAGAACCCACTTCCTTACTAAAATTCATTGAAACAAAATTTTAAACCAAGATTGTATAGACTTTGGACACAACAGATTTCTCATGTTTCCCATTTAATTTGAAGACATGATATTCTGGATTTCATGCTTCAGGTAGGCATGTAGAGTGTCTAAGACAACAGTTCATTTTGTGTAGATTCGTTCAGTAACTCTGGAGGAGAGCACAAGCACAGAGTGCTTCTGAAACAGAGCAGAAAACAAGGGTGCATGGCAAATCCCTCCTCTGGACTTCAGTATGAGCTGAAGTCTGAAGGAGTAAATAAATGCATAAGTATGTGAATGATTTGGGACAGTTTTACATATATCTTTACACATGATAAATCAAGGTTTAAATTAAGAGTACATTAATCACTTTCTAAAACTAATACAAAGATTTCAGTTAAAACAAGTAATATCATGATTTAAGTAAATCCTAAATGCACATGTAGTTTGTAAAACCTTACATAGGATGCATATCTTTCTAATATAAAATTGAAAAATGTAAACAGTGTTACTAAGATTTTTATATCAATATTTTAATGGAATATTATTTAATAACTTTAAGGCTTACATCAAAGTAATTAATATATATTCATTACTGCATGACTTAATCTTTTTTGTATGACTAGAAAATTAGTTTAAAGAAACATAATTAAAATAATCCTAGACATGCCACCATAATATGATTAAAAATAAAGTAGGTGCTGCAATATTGTAAAAAAATATAGCTAATTTAAATGCAAGCCCCTTTTATGGGTTGTTTGTCTCTGCTTATGTATGTTAGGGGAATTAAAAAGAAGTTTGTATAAATGACTGAATTTTATATTTTTTGGGGGTTGAAAAAAGGTCTGCAAAATGAGTTTTGCTATTATTTAACTAATATTAATCATGCTCACACAGAGGCCACTTGAGAAAAATTTATTATGAGAAATTTGTGACCAGTCATGCCATAGGAAGAGAAGAAAGCCACAAGGCTGAAATGACAGTAAGGTTTGTGTATGCAGTGCTCCTCTGGTAGTTAAATTGCAGGAACGTGACATTGATCTGAAACGGGAGCTGTTTGAAGTAGCAACTGTCAATCTCTGTATTCAAAAGATAGCCGAAAGTCATACTCAATTAGCCATTTTAGCATGACCACTCAGTCTATAAAGTCCTACCAACTCAAAAAGTGACCTGTCCTCGAGAGGCACTTCAAGAAGACTTTGTGGTATGATAATAGTTAACAGTCATCCAAGGCTACAGCTTGGACTCTTTATTTTATTGTTTGGGGAGTTATTCCAAAAGTAGAGCAATGCCTCATTTGACTGACTGTACTTATTACAAGGTGAGCCAAGTGTGGATTTAGGTATGAGCGGGTGTCTGCTGCTGCTGCTATTACTTAAATTGGTTGGATTATGTTTTTCTTTATGCCTTTGTTTACTCTTTGAAGTAAAAAAAGAGTTACTACATGGTGATATTAATATTTGAGTACATGTATGCCTGTAGATTGATTATAATGATCAGTAATTTTACAGAGATCATACTTTAACAAGAAGAGAAAAAGATGTAGCATACTTCTGGTCTTTCCTCAGGATTGTTTATCTTTTCTAATTCTATTTTTCTTTGATAATTATTCAGGTTTGTTCAGCTGTGTTACGGGTAAACAATACACATATAAGAAATGTGTAAGGTGCAGACCTGAAAAGTAAAGTAAGATTAAAGGTTAATAATAATTCAAGTGTTATTAAAGCTGAATCTATTGTTTTGATGTTTAAGTGATCATACATGTAAATACTGGCACTAGTAACTTGAAACTTCTGCAATTATTTCCATTCCTTCCCAGGTACAAACACACTTGGAAAATCAGTCTAGGTACCACATACAGCAAAGCCAGAGGCACCAGGTGAAGCAGTACCTGACCCTCGATACCAAGCTGTCCAGCCAGACGCTCTCCCTGTCACACTCCCACACAATCCAGCCTGTGGGAGTGACCTCCATTTTAAGAAGTGGACACATGCCTCCCATCAGCGACATTGGCACACCAGAAAGCCCTGTTACCAAGCTGCTGGCCCTTGGCGGAGAGCATGAAAATGCGGTAGGGCAGGGCTGGTGAAAGGAATGGGGAAATGGGTTTTGGGTTCTTCTACAAGAACGTTATATGACCACCTTGCATTGGCAGTGAGCAAGAGATTGTGGAATCATGAAATGATCTGGGCTGGGAGCAGCCTTAAAGACCATCGACTTCCAGCCTTCCCATCATGGGCAGGCACACTTTTCACTAGACCAGGTTGCTCAAAGCCACATTCAACCTGATCTTGAATACTGCCAGGGATGAGGCTGACTTTCTTTACTTTCATAAGGCCTTTGGTTGCAGCACATGTTCCCTTAATCCTTTAGGATTACATGAATGATTCCCTTGAATCCCTGTTAATAGCTTTTTACATGATCAGGCTTCTGAATTTCTGCCAGTTAAAATGTACTATTGCATCTTTTTATCTATGTGTCATATATTGCTGTACGTTTTTTTTTAATATGTACTTTACAATGCAAAACTTTTCCTTTTTTTTCTTTTTTTAAATGAGAGTTATTTCTGTCTGAAAGCATTATCCTAGCTGCATAACAAAGTTAAATGCTAATTACCTTAAAGATGTAACTGAAAGAATCACTCATTCATTTTTCAGTTAGCTGATACATTTATATATGGGTTATCTTGGGTAACTTGACATAGATATGCTAACTTTAGTACCACCATTGATTTTAATAGAGATAGAGCTATTATACGATGTCAGATTCTCAGCCAGTGTGAGATGTAGATCATTATGGCCTTTAATACTTCAATAGATTTCAAAAGAGACTGCTTATTAGGTAAAAGGGGAATTCCTATAGAAATGAGAAATGGTTATGCTGTATCACACCTCGGGCTTTAACAGAACAGAAAAATCTTACAAATACACTGTGACCCATTTGAACATTTGGATGTTATGCAGCTAAGCATGAGGGAACTGGAAAAAATAAGCCTGATACTTCCTGGAGAGCTCATCTGGGGCCCCTCCATTCCTTCTGTATTGACAACTGACATTTTATGTCAGGTTTATGGATTACCGAAGCCACTAGTCTGCACAGATTATTATAATAGATGGCCTTTGTGTAGGCCTCTGTGATCAGCTCGGTGCACTGTGCTGGAACCATTCTCAGGCTGATTTTGGGAACCATGCCAGGAATAATTGGTGCTTGCCCTTGTACCATTCTATCACCTGGAGAGCAAGATGGCTGCTTCTACACCATCCTCCTGAACTGTGCCTGGTGACCACTGGGAGAGTTATAGTTGGTACCGGCCAAAATCCTCACAGGCATTTTACCAGTGATTTGAATAATCCCATCCCAGAGCCTCAGGAAATAACTGACACGCTGTAATTTCCTAGGGCAGATGTGCCCTCTGGCTCAGCATAGGCTATAGTTATATTAGTAAATAATGTAGAAGCAACACACAGGTTACTGCAGTGAACTGTAGTCGTTCATGTTGACTAATTGATGGGAATTTCTTGGTGTCTTTTTTGGTCCTGACAACACTGTGCTGGGTAAGTCTGGGCACAATTGCTAGGACAGCACATCTTGTTTTTAGAAAGGGAGAGGAGTACATGTATAAGCTGTGCTGAGCAACGTGGCTTAAAATCCTGTGTTGAAAAGTCTTTAATTGCATAGGACCCTCTTGAAAAGCCTCAGAGCACAAGCCAACTGCTCCTGCACACGGTAGAGTTAACAGTGACACATTCATTGAGGGTTCTTTCCCAAAGTTATTTTGTGAATGGAACCAGACTAAAATTATCACTGAGAACTCATGCTGTACCTTGTCCAAATTATATATAGAATCATAGAATAGAATCATAGAATAGTTAGGGTTGGAAAGGACCTTAAGATTATCAAGTTCCAACCCCCCTGCCATAGGCAGAGATGCCTCACACTAGACCATATCACCCAAGGCCTCGTCCAGCCTGGCCTTGAACACTGCCAGGAATGCAGCATTCACAACCTTCTTGGACAGCCCATTCCAGTGCCTCACCAGCCTAACAGGAAAGAATTTCCTCCTTATATCCAATCTAAACTTCCCCTGTTTAAGTTTTAACCCGTTTCCCCTTGTTCTGCCACTACATTCCCTAATGAAGAGTCCCTCCCCAGCATCCCTATAGGCCCCCTTCAGATACTGGAAGGCTGCTATGAGGTCTCCATGCAGCCTTCTCTTCTCCAGATTGAATAGCCCCAACTTTCTCAGCCTATTTTCATACGGGAGCAAATTATTCACTGTTTCATCCAACCTGTTCCATCTGCTTCAGTAGTTTTTGATTCAATTTAGAACACAAGTGGGACTAGAAGTCCCTCTGGAGAAGTACCCAGCGTATTGCCAAATCAACACAAACCCCTGCCTCCTGAATCTTGAGAGAGGTGTGTAACACCACATCTTGAGTGACTCATGCTGTTGCAGAACCACAGGTTCCTTTCAGCCTTCCTGCACCAGTGCAACAATTCCTGTGGGTTTGACACATTTGATGAAGGTGACGGATCACAGCTACAACTTAGCAATGCCCTCCTTGTCATCTGATCTTGGTGTTGTAATAAAGGCTTAAAAAAGGGGAATGGGCTGGTGTTTGGGAGGAAAGAAGTGATTTGCTAAACCACAAGAACTCTTTCCACAAGAAGTAGAAAATGTGAATATTGTGTAAAAGTACCTGAAATATTTGAATTTTAAGATGTAAACTACTGAAATTCAGTTTTACTGATGTAATAAATAATCAAGATTAATTCTTCTTCATTTTCAAAGTAACATTTTTCCATTCTATTTGTAATGATTGGTCTTAAAATTCTATTTTATCAGATGGAAGAGGTGATTTCTTCTTCATTTTCAAAGTAACATTTTTCCATTCTATTTGTAATGATTGGTCTTAAAATTCTATTTTATCAGATGGAAGAGGTGATTGAAGACATAATCAATATGGAATCAAGTTTTAATGATGAAGGGATAGGTTGTTCTGAAACTCCTCTACTAATGCAAAGAACTGTAAGTATTCAGTGGAATTTCATCTTGCTATTTATGATAGAGAATTTCATTGAGTGATTTAAGCACATGCCACACTTCAGAAACTAAAGCAGTACTGTCAGTGGACTTTTCTCCTTTCTCTTTGGTTGCTTGTCTTCAGGAAATATTACAGGAAAGGGTTCAAGTGTGGTGGGACACAACTGTTTTAAGTGGTCTGATTAGCATTTGGGTTTCTAGCACAGCACCAGGTGGTGCATAACCCATTGGAAGTACTAATTCCAATGCAGGACTATGGGTAAGAGAAGTCTCTGAACCCTAGAAGGTTGTTTAAAGTCTTGCTTAAGCATCTTTCTACTTTAGCTAAAAAAAAATCAAAGCTTCGCCGTGTAATAGTTCTTACAGTACAGTAATTTTTCCAGTGCCCTACACTGAAGCAAGGGTGGGCTCCATTTCTTAATTTCATAAAGGCAAATTGCACTTAGGTGAACAATTTCAGGGACTAAGAAGAGAAATGTAATTTTTCAGATTAAATGCTATCTAGCAATAAATATAACAAATTGTTAATCCTCTGTCATTACAAAAAGACATTACAGAATTATTACAAGATTATTTACATTTCCATATATGTTACACATTTGCAGAGGAAGAATGGACCTTTTCTGGACTCAACACATAGAGATTATTGTTTGTGAAAATAATGTACTGAACTGTAATGAACTTTATGAAAGGGATGGTTTTTGTCCTCTCAACCTTAATTTATCATCAGAACCATTTTTCCACATATTTTGTACTCAGGACCTTAAAATGGTTACTGATAAAGTGAAACTTCACTCTGGTGAAGGCAGGATTTTCAAAGGCTTTGACAGTCTACAAAATTAATTTCAGAATACAGAGTCAGATGCTTGCTTTTAATCACCCTCTGGAGGAACATCTTTTTCTGGCTACAGAACATCACTGGCTACAAAAATACCTTACGAGATAAGATCTCTACACCTCTGTGTTGTCCACTACACAGTCCAGCATTAATGGCAATTAATAATTCCATGAATGCCTGGCATTTTATGCCAGTTACAGAACTAATACAGTCAGACTGATTTATACGTATCTCAGTACAGAACATAGCAAAGAAATGGTCCCTGGGGAGTGAATTAATATTTTGGCTCAAATTAACATGAGGCAGGGGAGGATCCTTTCAGGTGGGCTACTGTGGGATGGTGATGAGAGGCCTGAATTCTGGGTTTTGGATTGGACTCATACTCCCTCAACACCGTTTAAAACTGGATGATGTTAATCTATGCTAATTCAAGCCTCATTAGCCTTTATGTTCAGCCGTGAAGGACATATCTCTCTGAAATGTATTGAATACCCTACTCTTGACAAGCAAGGAAATATACAATGACTTTTAGGCCTAGCTGGTATCTTATTTGCAAAGATTTGACCCTCTTGCAATGCCTGTGGGCCAGATATTTATATTTTTGTTTGTGCTGAGGAAATCACCAGGCTGTTAGGTAAGTCAGGGTGCGTATTTCCAAATCTCTCTGTGCAACACTGCAAACTAAACCCTTCAAAAAGTCATGCAAACTGCACTGGTGCACTGGTGTGGAAGCAATCAAGAAGTGTCTTTGCCTCTACTGTCTTCTCTTTTGGCAATACGTATTCAAATATGTCTGAAAGAAATAGGCAAAGGAGGTGATGCTTGGCATTTAGGTCATGACTCACAGTTTTATGGCATCTTTCAGGCAGCATCCTAAATCTGCCTGTAAAATTTTGATCATAATCAGTGCTATAGAGAAAGATAGAGAGGCAGTAGAAAATAAGCTTTTTAGATCCAGTTTTTCATTATCACACTAAGTGTAATAACATTTTCTTTGTCTGAGTTAAAACTGTGTATGTTACAACAGTGTTGGATGAGGAAACATCAGGAATGAGAAGAGGAACTGGGTTTGTGCTGTACTCAAAAGACTCATAATACCTCTTAGGTACTTCTGCACAAGTGAGACTGAATCTACAAGTGAGACTGAGCTGCTTGTGTACTTGGCTGATGCAGTGTTTGCATTCTCTTTACAGTTCTCCAGTGATCTTTCCCTCCTCAGCATTGTCTTGGATTTGCCCAAGCACACACACACACACACACACACACAAAATGAACAAAAAAGAAAAACCAAACAAAATCTGAAAAAAATCTGATTCCCTTCTCTTTCAGAATGCGTTACAAGGTTTGGGTGCTTTTTCAGCAAAATCTTTTCTTCAACAAGTCAAACTCATGAAGACATTTTCTTTTCTCAATAGATAGTGGCTGAGGTAGGGGACTTTGCACTGCTACCTGTTGTGTCTTGCAGTGGATTAATGTTTGCTTTAGCTAGATGCACTCGTATACCATTTTAATGGCACATTAAATGAAGACATTGAATTCTGTGAGACCACTCATGTGAATAATTGCTCAGAGGCTCATTGTCTGACCCTGAATTAATGAATTACATGTATTAGTAGAATCAGAGAAGTGAAAGCCAGAACATTCCTCCATCTCTCATTAAAATAATTAGAGCTTCTGAAGAGTAGATTATCTGTCTTTTATTGTGTTTGGTTGCAGATTCATAATTTCATAAAACTTTCTAGCTATGGGTTGGCTACTTAAAAATTGCTCAAAGTAGGGAGTCATCTGGCTGTGTTTCTATTGCTTTAAACAGCACTCTAGTAGTAGAAACCTTCTTTTTATAATAATTGCTTAGAAGTTCAGTTAAAATATGAGTTGTTCCTCCCTTTATACAAGATGTCTTAATTCTTCTGAAAATGTTTATAAACCCAGTTATATCTTTGTCCAGAAAAATGTAGCTGAAATAAAATTGTAAAAATTCTTATGAACTATCATTTGATGTCAACATGGAAAAGGCAAGATTAATAAAAAAACCTTCTTGAAGATGACATCAAGTTAAAGTCACTTTTCCTTGTTATAATAATTTAGTTTTATTAAACTGTTTACTAACAGACAGCAATGTTTCTTTCTATATTATCATATATGAGGTCAGGTTTCTTCCTGACCTCATATAGGAATAATTAAAAAAATGAAACAAAGAAGATATGTGAGTTTTAGAAGTGAGTCAATGTCGTGTATGTGACAGACATTTAAAAAGTAAATATTTTTAGTTTTTATCAGATTTTCATTCTTATTCAAAATCCTCACAGTCTATTCAACATTCTGTAGTGAATTTAAAGTTTATTAACTTCCCAGTGTTCAGAACATAGGAAATATGTACAGGTCTGTTAATGTAAAGCACATATGACACCATCATTAAAAGTTAAAAGCAAGTTCTAGAAAGCTATGATCTACATTCTTTTTAGTATCTGAAAAAGGAAAGTTTAAGAAATGTTGTATTAAGGCAGATATGGAGAGCATTAGCCACAGCAAAGAGAGCCAGAAAAGAGCAGAATTGAAAAATAGGTTATCTGTGTTTTTCAGGGTGTGATTTGACAGTGTGTGACCTACTGAGCCTTTACCTGTTACTAAACATTGGTGTGTTTTGCTAATATATGTATCAGCCTAGGAGTCACTAGAAAACCTAGTAATTTTGCAAACACAACAGTAATCTCTATGAAAACTTTTGGCATTTTACCAGTACATTCATTCAGAAATAACTGTGGTAACCCAGATTATCACTGTACAGCTGCTGGGATAACGTCCTCTACTTGACATGCAGTCCACTAAAACATCAAAAGCCTTAGGAGATTGACTGGCTTGGAATGAGAATAACATGAGAAGATATTAATGTTCTGCAAGGGAGAGGCTTCTCTGGAACCATGCTGGGCAGGACCAGAAAGAAAATAATTTAATTTTGAGGACGTTTCCAAGAATTCTAAGTTTTCTGGGCCTTTTTTTTTCTGGTACACCAGAAAACAAGAACTTTCCAAAGTATTCTTGAATAAGCCTGGAGAGATTGCTCTGTAGCAATTAGATGGCTGGTGGTAAGACCTAATAAGTAGTGAGTGCAGAGTAGTGCTTGTGGCAGAGCACTACTACAAAACTGGACTTCAGGTCACCAGCAGTGGTCCAACTCGTGAGCCAGTTGGGCTCACTGTTGCTGGAGTACTAGGTACTGAATGACTAAACAAAATGGAGCAGTTCCTTTCAGATTGCTTGGGGGAAAATTGAAAGCTTCTCCAAGGAGAACCTTTTTATTGAGTTTTTAATATGTGAAGCACTAAACAGAGCTGAGGAAAGAATGTTTCTATGTTGATTTATTTGTTATATTTAAGAAATACTTGATTTGATTATCCTGGTGAATGAGGTTGATGATGGGAATGTTTCCTGAAAGCAGTGGCTTCTGTCCAATAGAAAACGCAGATTTTATTTTTATATATGAATAATTATTCTTACTCAGGGAATAGAATACCCTTGGTAGTCCTAGACAAAGCTGAAGCAAATATCTGTTAAAGCAAGTTAGTTTTTGAAAAATTCTCCAGAATGGTTTCCAAAATGGTTCTTTCCTTTAAGAGTAAAAAATACCTAAAAATTTGAAACGGCATTAATTCCTCAAACAGTTCCAGCTCAAACTGCATACTGAAATCATTATGGTATCATTGGTGTTTTGAGGTTCACATCACCTCAGAGATTTAGAACTGCCACAAGCAATGAATCTGTTGTTGAAAACTTCTCCTATTGTGAAACTAACCAAATTTCTTCAGTCCTCCTTTGAATCTGACTTGATGTACATAGTATTTATATTCTGGGAAAAGAAGAACTACATCACTAACAGGGAGGAGAAGCAAAAGCACCTTGGCATGCTGAAAGGCAGGGGTTTTTCTAGCCTTAGGCAGCAGGGCTGAGCCGGGGTTGCAGCCAAGCATGAGGAATGGTGGCAGAGTGGGCAGAGCAGTGCTCTGTGAAGACATTGCCTTGCAGTAAGTCACCTGTTAAAGGATCCTGTGAGGCTTCACTGCTGCATTTTCATTACTTCATTTTATACATTCATAGCTCCCTATTTCATTAAATTGGGAGCTATGGTCTGCTTCCAGTCTGCTTTGGA